ACAATATTCTATACAATTTCCAACAATTTCAAGCATTTAAGCATTTTAAGTTTGGTTTAATTTCTCATTCACCTAACAAAAAATTCCACTTAAACAATCACTTAAATTGGTCACAACCAATTTTGAATTTTCCAACACATATCCCATCATATGATGATAAAAGAGATATCTGAAAGAGAAAGCACGTAGATCTGTTCTTGAATTGGTTTCGTGGGATGATCAGAATTGGTTTCGTGGTCTGATTCGATCATCCAAGAAACTCCAATGAGGTGATGTTGCTTCACTTTTGTGCTGGTTATGATATAGCGTTGTTGTTTTATAGAATTGAATGCTCGGTCATTTATCGTGATATTGTTCGTTCGCCATAGTTCACGAGTCTATGTTTAACACTGTTATTGAGACACTATAGCTATAGTTGTACTTGCAAGTGACAAAGCTAAGAATTCACAACAAATGGCGGAGTTAAGTAATATGCGTATAATACAGAAAATCAACAACAAAAATATAAATTTATTATTCATCAAAGCCAAGGATCACAATCCATCAAAACACATCACTTGTCTGCTTGAACCAAAGGACAGATTAATATAATTTCTGCTTAAACCCCAACAGAAAATATTAAAATCTTAGCTCATAAATAAACAAAGGAACCAATAATGATTCACCAATCACCACCACCTTCTTACTCCTCAGTATTCTTAACTGGAACTTCAGTGCTAGCCTCCTCCGCAGCTTCAGCCGGTTTCACCTCTTCCTCCACTGGAGCTGGTGGCACAACGGTGGTTTCAGGGGTTTCTTCAATAGTAATTTCTATCTCCTCTGGAGCTTCTGCTTCTTTCTTTTCTTCTGGGACAGGCACTTCTTCTGCTGCTGGTGCTGTGACTTCCTTGGTCTCAGCTTCTGCCTTGGGTTCTTCCACAGCCTCTTTAGTTTCAGTTTTGGCTTCAGCTTCCGGTGGCTCAGCCTCAGTAGCGGCGAGTTCCTTTGGTGGTTCTTCTGGTTCTGCTGCCACCTTTTCCGCTTGATCGGCCACTTGAATTTTTTCTTCCTCAGTTTTAAGAGTCTCTGGGACTGTTACTGGAACTGATTCAACCTGTAGAAATTAAAGCAATACAAAAATATCAAAAGAATAGGAATAATGAAGTATGATCTGAAGACAAGAATTCGATCAAGATTGTGTTTATGAAAAATAGAAACTTGCAAAAAGAATACAATTGATATATATACACACACACACCTTAGCTGTGGCCATTGTTTTCGAAGAGTGATTTGCAACTGATATTTCAAAGAAAGAAGATTATAAAAGGGATTGCTTTGGGAATAATGTGTTGATGAGAATTTTGATCAATTTGAGGTCTATATATAGAGATGTGAAATCAATATTCACTAATTAAAATAATGGGAATAGCAAGGATTGGATCACTATAGAGATTCCAAATTGCCATCTCATAGCGAGTAAAGGACATTAGAGGCATGTCTTGTTGTAAATTGTTTTATAATGTCGATTTGATTAGTAACATTTATTGTGTTATATTCGAGTATCGTAATGAAAAGCAGAGTTTGAAATGAGAAAAATGTAGGGTTTAAACTTTAAACAGGAAGCGTGTAGAAGGTATTTCAATATAAAAAGATTGTGACAGAAGTTGTCAATCCTATTTGACCGCCTAAAATGTGAGCACCCACTAATGAAAGCGTAAGAACCATGAGTTTTTCATTTTTATATTTTTTTAAAATTTCTACTTAACAAGTAAACAAAATGATTTATGAAATCAAATTATGACAATTTACTTATTAGTATTTCACCGAAAACGACAAGAAACCCTGTGTGGTTCCAAAAGCCAAACAAGCGGGACAATGGTTGTTGTTAAGAAGGGACCCACGTCGCATGATGCTGACGTGTCGTACCTTTCAATTTAGATCCAACTGGAACTTTTTCTTTTTCAAAATTAGCACCTCCTTTTGTTACTGCGTCAAATCGGAAAATGGACGCACCTTGTGGGTCCCATCTGAAGATGCTTGCCAGGTAGTACACTCGTGACTTTGGACCCACATGCGATGCCACGCTGGATCACAGTCATCCGCACTGAATCTCTGATCATGTTCCCCCGTCCAAACCCGTTTTGCTTTGCATTTGATTAGAATTATTTCCCACTTACAGTGGAATAATTCACGGGGCTCATTAGGATACTCGCATGATGGATCCCATCATGTATTAAAAAAAATTATGCGTGAAATATGTTCCTGTACTTGAAGTAGGGTTTTGATTGTGTTAACGAGAATATTAACATTTTGATTATGTTACCAAAATTTATAAATGGAAATAATTATCGTCTTCAACCTTTTTACGAGGATGTTCGATATTGAACTATTTTATTTTAAAAATAGCTCAACTTCACCACTACATATATTTATATAATTTTAATTTTTCTCTCTAAGATCAGTGAGGACAGTGGAATCAAAATTCTGAAGATCCAGGCCAATAGCAGTAACCATATCATATGCTGCTGTAGGCGCATGTACTCCGCAAAGACAAAAAGTTGATTAGAAATTTGGACGGTGGAGAGGGCCTACGATGATATGCTTTTAACCATGGCAATAAGGACCGGACACGTGTAAATTTCATCTTCGACGGAGCCGATCGTGACATTACGCTGTTCGTGGGCTAGTCAAGTCGGCTCGCGAGAAACTCGTAGCTAGTGTATTTTTCAAGTTAAAAAATACATTTTTACTTTCAGGTGATGAGCCGTACTCGTAGCTGAATCATTGTTTTAAGGTTCAATAATGCAAAATGATCATGCTATATATAGAGCATGATAGATTAAGATTTGATTACGATGAAATGGAATTGGAATGACTAAGGTGAGGATTTCCTGTCTAATCTGATAGATTAGGCATGGGGCCCTGTCAGATTTGGAAATTTTAAGAATTTATGATGGTTACCATGGATTTCTAATTTTGAAGTACTGCCACAGGCAAAAAAAAATAGATAATCTTTGTAAATTATGTACAACAAGAATAATTCTTTGCGTTTCGAGTTGGTTTGGTTCGAGGAAAGTGAGTTCCTGTTTATCTACCATTCTCTATTGTTTTTATGTTTTTAAACTCATTTTTAACCATACACTTTTATAATAAAATATTTTGTACGTAAATAAAAGAATTTTCTTACTTTTTAACTATATATTCTCCAAAAAAATCATTATTTTTAAAACTTATTCTCCTAGAAAACTCTTTTTAATAGATATCAAAGGGACAAAGTGTTTTTCAAAAGGAAAAATTGATAAATAAAAATTTAACTATAACTCATTTTAAAATTAAGATATAATATTTAAAATTTTAAAAATCAGGTATTTATTAAATTTTATTTCTGAAATAATTAATGAAAAATATATTTTATAAATTAAATATAATATCACAATTTTATACACTTTAGTCACACAAT